GTCAATGTCCTCCTGGCCGTAGCGGAAGGCGCAGGTCAGCGTCACGTACACTGGGAACAGCAYAGGGCAGGTTAGGCAGAGAGCAGCCCGAGCCGCGGGGCTTCCTGCCCCACGGAGCCCTCGGGGTTGTCTAACCCCCTAGGGTTCATACTGTTGGGAGGACCTGTGCTGTGTGGAGGAAACAGCTGGTCCGATGAGGAAGAATGTGCTGTTTATAGCCTTAAAATCCTTAAAGTGACGTGAAAAGGCTCTATTTCCAAGTCCCCCTTTCAAGGAGAACTAGTAGCCTCTAAAAACTACGCTGTGTAAGATCACAGACCTTTTTTCCCCTTGATGAGCGCAGGGTCCACCAACACAACGCCATCTGAAAGAAAGGGGAAATGAAGGCCACGAAGAGGGGATAAGCGGGGCCAAGGGGCAGGGAGGGCAGCACAAGCCCGCAGCCTTACCCACAGGCTCCACGCTCTTGATGTTGTCCACGAAGTCGCGCTTTCCCAGGTAGATGGTCAGCTGCGGGGAGAAAGGCACCGTGACCCAACCGCGAAATGGTTGGCGGGCACGTGCTTAGGTGGGACACGAAGGAGACCTACCAACCTTGCAGAGCGCAGGACAAAAATATAGGGGAAATGCAAATATTTATTGTAAACATACAATCTCCACTAAACTCAGCAGGCCTGTTCGAACACTTTGGGAGATCATTGGGTTATGCTTAATGCAGAGCAAGTCCCAGACAGGCAACACAAATGTGTGTGCATGTGGCCAAGAACCATAAAGTTAAGGACTTTCGGTGCCATCTGATTGAAAAAACATCATTTATCTAAACTTTTTCCAACAGGATTCCAACTAAGGAGGAGTAAAACAGATGTTGCCTTCTTATACAACACCTTTAGTTTTATAAACCATGAGCGTTTTGCCTTCTCGAAACTTCATATCTAGAGTCTCTTCTGGCTTAGCACTGACTATAGATGATGGCTTCTCTTCAGAAAAAAAATGAAGGGACAAGATTGAGCTTCACCTCCAAGCTGACCGCAAGTAAAACGCTGCAGACCATTTGTCCCGGCACTTACAGCCTTATCGCGGGTGCTCTTCTTGAAGATGACCTGTTTTGGTGGGGAAGCAGCGCCCTTCCCGCTCGCTGCCTTGTGAGGATCGGGGCCGCTCATGGCCAAAGGCGGCTCGGGGCCGGCGGCTGCAGGAAGCGYGTCTGCCACGAGGCTCCTGGGGCGGAGAAAACAGCAAAGAAACGGGGGATGAGAGTGAAGGGCAGTCAGGACAGGGGGTAAAGCCTTCTATGCGCGCAGTGCAGTGCCCCAACAGGAGGCTATTCCGATGGAAACTCAGGCTCAGCACAGAGCTGAGCTTACTTCTGGTTTTCTTTATTCCTCTTTAAAAAAAAAAAATAAGGAAAGATTTAAAAGCAACTCTTCAGAAATATTAAAAACAACTAAGAATCCATTTTCAAGCTATTTTTAAAGAATTAGTAAGCTAGCAGAAAAAACTGAATGCAAAGAAAAGTTTGCACCTTAGATTTTTTKGGGGAAAATCTATGAGCACACAGATAAAGCAAAAGCTCAGTGTGGTGTACTTAGATTTTCAAAAATACCTCAAGATTTGTCAGCAGAGATTATGAGTAAGTTGTCACAAGACTAAAAGGAGCCTAAATTATTAGGGAATAAATCAAGTACGGAATGAAATGCGCTGTTTGTGTCCCTGGTGTGTCTGAATCCCTTATGTCCACGTGCAGCCCAGTAATGTCACCTTGGACAGGAGTTGGACCAAACCCGGAATGAGACCCCATCCATATACTGCATTTTCCAAATCAAATGTGAATGTGATGCATTAATTTTAGGATATTAGTGAGTATATACGTGAAYTAGAAACACAACAAGATAAGGAGGACTTCTAGCAAAGGGCATTGAAAGCTAGGGGCGCCCAAACTAGCGCCGTAGAGCAAGTTCAAGGCAAAGCAAAGCTTTTCCCCAGAGAGCACGAGGTGCTGAGGCACAGCCCGTCATCGCAGAGGGCGGTGCGATCACTAACGTGAACTAATGCCGTGGATCAGACACCCTCACAGCAAGGCTGGTTGCAGGAACCAGACGTGATGATCCAGGGGCAGCTGCGTAAGGCTCTAAAGCACAGAAGATGGATCAGGAAAGGATGAGGGTTTGCGTGCCCTGTTCTTAAACTTCTCCCCATTTCTACCCTTCTCCCTGCTGGAAATCAGTATCCCGGGTCGGACAGGCCCCTGCCCTGACCATGTAGGACTGTCCTTGCAATTTGCTTTCAAACATTCTTTTCTGCTCGCTTCTCTGTTTTGAAGCCTTTCCRACTGTAGAAACCATTTCTAGGGCCTATTTGCAAGCTAGAGACTGGAAAAAGGGAGTAACTTCCCCTCGCAGAAGGCTAGAGCAATGGGAAAGCAAAGACTAGAGACAGACCTTGCACATGGTTAAAAGTTTCCATGTTCTGATGGACAAGTGAGTTTTCCAAGTCCAGAATAGCACGTTTTGCTCCATAGGCTCCTACTAACGCTGCAGACTTAGAGAAACAAGCCAACAAATAAACTTAATTACCTTGTGGGCTCCAGGCGTCCCAGGAGCAGGCGCGGGAGAAAGGCGAGCTCCTCGATCAGTGAGGAGAGACCATGTCCTGCAAGACGCGTCCTGCGCCCGCCTGCCAGGGAGGATCGCTCTGCTCGCAGCAAACACAGGCGGCAATTTGTAGGGGATTGGAAACCTCACCCTCCTCGTGTCCGCCCAGGATTCCAAGAACTAATCCCTCTCCAGGAGCAAACATTTCACTGGGGCTAAGATTTAACTGAGAAATGGCTAAGTCAGCAGTGTAAAGTATTACCTAAGGGAGCCTGTTAACGAGCCAGCCTCCAATGTCATCCTCACATGTTTTGTAAAGACTGGAGATATATATGGAGCAGGAGGCTACTGAAAGCAGCTTTATTCTAAAGCCGTCTCAGTCTCCTTCTTATGGTTGCAAAACCTCCAGCCTGGTAGGGYGCAGAATATAGGGGAGTAAAGGAGCAGGTTATGAGGAAGGGAGCTGATGAAACACTAACCCAGGCCACTGGGAATGGAAACCAGCACAAGGGGCTCCCCTGAGCATCGCAGTGTGTTTCTGCCATACCCMGTAAGCGGTTTCTCTTACTGCTCCCCCAACATCCCATTGACAAGCTGGTGCGAAACAAGGTCTTGCTGGCTGATACACCTCCCCTCCTCAATTTACTTGCTAAGAAGTTAGGCCCAACGTGCAAGATGTGAGACACACGAAGGGACTCCCGTTAGTTCAGCTTTCTGTTCACAGMTGTCCCAAGATGAGCTTCCTGCCCACTGAAGTTTGCCTTGGCCTTCTGCACAGCCACGCATGACCCGCGCAGGCTGCAAGCACAGCTGGAGCTTTTCTCCACGCTACGGCTCACGCTTTGACGAAAAAGAGCACGAGACCCTCTCCATGTTGCGCAGCTGCCTATCCAGCTGTAAGCGACCACAAACCTTTCATTAAATATAAAGGAGGGGGTAATTGGTACAACCAGCGTTTCTCACTTCTGAGTTCCAGGGGTGTTTTATGGAGGTGAAGCAGTTGGGGAGCTTAATCACTACCTTGTTTTGTTGATGTCTGACAATCACAGAAGAGCCAGTTGTAACCCAAAGAGAGCCTGTGCCTGAAGGCAAGGCTAGAGCCCAGCCCTGGCGCAGGGGAGGTCGCAGTCCTAGCCCAGTGTCGGCACATCGCACTTACGGTGCAAAAGCAAAAATATTTTTTCCCCCTTCCCTTAAGCGTTCGTGGTGGTGCTGTAAGCAGAGCACTGCCCCGGGAAGAGCACTGAGCCCTTCCGCCAGGGCCAGACTCTGCGGGTGCCTCTGGGAGGGCCCAGCAGCGACTCCTCCATCCGCAGCCGCTTCCTAAGGCACCTCCTGCCCAGCAGAGCCAGGGACCAGAGCAAGGGAACGGCCGCAGCCAGCAGGACACTCGGCTCCGGGATGCGGGAACGGCTCTGCCGACAGGACGCTCCACTCTGGGGAAGGAGGGAGCCCTGCAACGCCCACCCTGGCCCCGCACACACCTTCAGGTGGCCTTCAACCGCTGCAGCTTGAAGCTGGAAACAAGCAAAATTAATAAATGAACTACAGAGAAAAAATAATTTTAAAAGCTATAATTGATCACTTCGGACCAAGTTATCTACGGATTTTTTACCCAAATGCCTAAGATTTTAGCTCCTAGCTCCTATCCTTGTTTTGTGTATTGAACATTAACCAACTTCCTAACAGCATCAAGAAGCAAAAATATCTTCTGTGGGTAAGAGCCCATGTCCAGGTTGTAGAAAAATACCTCAGGCTAAATTATAAACATCCTAAACCCATTCTGATCCTCCTCAGCAGAACCTGCTGCATTTTTATTCCATTATCTTAATCTCCCAGTAATCTTTCATGGTGCTGACTTGTCATGTCATCCCGCGCGGCAGCCAAGGTCGCCGGGACGCGGCGCAGGGGCCTTTGCAGAAGGACCTTCCGCCGGAGCAGCAGCAGAGCAGGCCCCTCTCCCGAAAGGCTGCCACGTTACAGCTAGTTGTCATCTCCGCTAGGGCTCTCCTTTCCAAAGCCGGCCAGTTTCTTCTTAAGAAAACAGAAGGAGGGTAATCAGTGAAAGCCCTTAGTTACTTGCAAAACGTCAACACTGGAGCAAAAGCAGCTGAGGGCTTCGCTTCACCACTCTGAAGCGGAATCCAGAGCATTATCTTCAATGAGGGCTTGTGGTTTCCACAGGTATTTGCCACTCCCATTATTGGCTTAAAATTTTAACACAGCGGTTCCCAAAGTGCTACAGGAGAAGACAGAACAAAAACCCAAGAAAACCCCAACCACCCAAACGCAGCTGAACCCAACCCAGGATTCACCAGGGAAGCACCACGGAGGAGCCCATTGTAGGTCCCGCTGTTGAGACGGTCACACACACAAACACGCACAAATGAACCAGAGCGTTGTGGGGTTTTAAAAGCAGAACACAGGTTTATTTACAGTCAAGTTCTTATGGGCAGCTGAATAAATAAAAACGTTGCCTTGTACACACTAACGAGCTCCCCTCTGCACAGGGCGTCTGACCAGGGGCCGGGCAGAGGGGCGACCGCCGCAGAGCTGCCCTGACCCGGCCCCTCCGGGGAACCACTTCCCTCGGGAAACGCGAGCAGGAAAGAGGAAAATAAAGTGCAAATAAAGAGCCGCGAGGCACTGCGCCCGTGCCGAGGGTCGGGCCAAGGGCTGGCTCAAGGCCAGGCCGGCAGCCCCCGCATGGCCACCTCCTGGGTTTGGATGCTCAAACAGGGCCAGGACGCTGCTCCAAGGAAGCTGTGGGTCCAAGGCCCCTGCTTCCCCTGCCCCTCGCGTTCTCCTGGCAGCCTCCAGGGCAGGACGGATGAAGGGAAAAGGGGCCCATGTGGCGGGACCGCACTCACAGTATTCCTACGCTCCTCGGCAGGGCAGCAGAGCAGCAGTGCAGCTTCTCTCTTCACGCTCAGTAACCAAATGGACTGTGAAATTAAAAACCGAAGAGTCCCCTATTTTGTGGCAGCCAAGCACGATAACAGAGGGGTGCGGAAGTCCTGAAGAAGGGACCGTTTCCCCACGGCAGACGCAGCGGAGCCGCGGCAGCCCTGGGGAGCCGGGGTGGGATGCGGCGGCTCCGCGCCGGCACTGCCAGAGCCGCAGGACGCTCTGCTCCCTCTGAAAGCTCCTCCAGCACCCAGCAGCCTGCCTAGCACGTATCCGCGGCTCAGGACTTTCACACCCCACACCTAAACTAGGCCACGGGAACAGAACACAGGAGACGGAACAAGTCAGAATAGACAGTAACTTCTTCCCCACGTTTCCAACCTAGAAGTGCTGTAGATACATGTGTGTGACAGGATATTTGGCACAGCTGTCTGGTGAGGAATCCCACTTGGATCTTCAGCTCTGCTCAGTGCATAGATACCGCATGTAAAGGCATGACTAAGTAGCATTCTCCGTCCAGATCAGCTAGTCCCGTGCTGAGTCCGAGYGCCGCAGGGCGCTTATGGCCGCGGGGAGTCTGACTCAGGCTCCTTCTCCATCGCGTTAGCGCTTCCCATGGGAAAGCGCAGCCCAGGCGCTCACCAAACCCCCACTCACGATGGCTGTGGGCTCGGGGCTCCGCTCCATCCAGCCGCGGGCCRGCACCACCGTGCACGGAGGCGCCGGAGGCTCTGCCTTTCGGCCTCCATCCAGTCAAAATTCAGCCCACAGCACAGCCTTGCTCCCCTTGTCCACGCTGACCACATGGGTGCCCGCCGGGGACCACGCGACGGCGTTGATAGCAGAACTGCAACGGGAGCCAGGTGTAAGCTTGCACACACAGACAGCTTATCAAGGAAACAACATGCCAGGTAGTCATGTGGCTACAGAGGCTCTTTCCTTCTCAGGAGACTCCTCTCTCTATAACCCTGAGAAGGGTTTTTCTTCAGACTACTCAAGAATACTTTACGAGAATCACGCGCCAACTTGATCAATGGTCTAACTTGCAGGAATCCACAAGGAACGTGCCCGCAGGGCGGGCGGCAGAGTCGCAGGACTCGAGCTCTTGCCCAGCCCAGCGGGATCCGCGGCCCACGCGGCCGCGCCGGTGACCTGGCTGGCTGCTCCTCACCTGTGGTGCTTGGCCAGCGTCCTCTCCAGCTTCCCAGTGAGCACGTTCCAGACATAGAGGGCCCCATCAGCTGAACCAGCAGCCACGTAGTTACCGTCAGGGCTGGGAGAGCAGAGAAGCAGCAGCAGAGAGAAAAGCTTTCCTCAGTGAGCAATTAGCACYACAAGTCATTATTCCACCCTCAACTTCTGAAGCAAGCAACTCGAGATAGTCTATAAAAAACTTAAGCGTCACTAGCTGAGACACTAACAAGTGAAACCACTTAAAAACCAAATCATCTTGATATGCACAGATATGTAYATCTTGATATGCTCTGTCCCCTACGTAATTGCTTTTGACCAAGATGGGACACTCTGCAAGCCACAGAATAGGGACGGTACAACCAAAAATCCTGAAGGACTCTATTTTTGGGAAAGAAAAACATTATTAGAGGATACTTTGCTTATAGCTAACCTTACCTGAACACAACTCTTGTCCAGTCAGATCCACATTTAAATCCTTGGGCACTGAAAAGTTAGAATCAGATAAATTTAATTTCATTTATAAGAGAACAGATTTCCACATTTTTACAGAAGAACAAAACAAGGATCTGCACGTCTTGTGCAATGAGCTCCACCATCCTCTTGTCCCATTTCCCATACAGCTTCCATCAATCACACCTGAAGAAATTCCTGCCTGTTTGGCCTAAGGCTTCTAAGGGGACCCGTCATCTTTAGAGAGGTGAATGACAAGATCCACCAAAGCAAACCGAGGACCTTGACACTGCAGAGAATCCTACTGCCCACAGAGAGAAATAAAACTAAAACGCAGCAGAAGAGTTGGAGAGTGTCTGTCTGTGGAGATGCTGCAGAACCCTCAAACACTGAGGCCGAGAGGCAGCCCCGAGTTCAGGAACGCAGGGCATTCCTGGGGCTTTTGGAGAACACCCTCACCTGAACGTCTGCTTGATGGCACCGACCCGCAGGTCAATGATCTTCAGCAGATCGTCGCGGGAACAGGTCAGCAGCTCCGTTCGCTCCGAGTTCAGGTCCAGAGCTGTGATCCTCCCAAACAGCTCGATTTCTTTTACTATGCTTTCAGTCCTAAACACAGGAAAAGGGAAATGGAAAATAAAATAAGGTCCAGGAGCCAGTCAACGCATCAAAACTTTGACCTGTCCCAGTGCACAAGGACAGAAGAAAGAACTATTGTTTTATTTTCACCTTTGGAGTCTTTCCCAAATATCCCCTCTATAGACATATGTGGATAATGTTCCTACCAGGCATGTTCCTTCTTGCAGCCCTATCCTCTGAAAAACTAAATGCTGTCTMAAAAGGCAAATACTGTCTAAAATAAAATACCTACATTAAAGCAGTTTGCCACTTCAGAACAGGTATCCTAAAGACAAGCCCTCCTCCTCCACGGTCTCAAAAAGACACCAAAGAGAACTGACCCAACAAATCAAACATCATTAAAGGCTTTTTCGGTGCCTTACTTCACTACAAACTCTGAAAGTCGTTTTACCTGATGTCCCAGAAGCGAATTTTCTTATCAAAATGTCCACTCATTACACACTGCTCAGTGCACACGATGTCATTGCAGCTAGATCCTGCAAATACTGTTTTTATACCTAGAAAAAGAAGAATCAGTGGTGACRCAAGCTGCTGAAAACAGAGTCAGAAAACAACCACAAATCACGCACGTGAACTTATCGGCTACGCAGAGCAGTACCCAAGTGCCAGGGGGCAGACAGGCTGCCTTGGAATAATCCTCACTTAAGTACCGAGCAACCCCTTCGCCCTTCTCAATCTCCTTTGCTTTATCCGATATCCCGTTAAGTGCTCCCCGGACACCTGCCTTCCTTCCACTGTGCATTGAGCCAGCCAATCTGCCACGGCTAAGCAACACGAAGCTGCCTACGCGTCCTCTGTGGTTTAGGTGTCAAGGCAAGCTTGAATCTTGACTTCCCTTTCAGGGCCAGCAGGCTCAAGAACTAAAAGCCAAGACAAGCAGGCAACCGTTTTCCCCAAAGAACGACCTGAAGACCCAGCATTACCTTCATCTGAGGTGGAGAAGTTTTAGGGAAGCTTCCAAGAGACACCTGCATCCAGCTCTATGCTAAGAGGGCTGCCCTGGCCTCACGTTTTCAGCGAAAGACCAAAACATCCACCGCACTGGCTGAGGAACAGGCGCTCCCAGGGGGTGTCTGCCTATTACATTGACGGTGCTTCCCGCATACACCACTTCTAACTGTTGTTTCAGGTAACAGGCAGCATGAATCGGATCTGATTACCTGAACAGCAACCAAACAACAGCGCTGCTGTTTTCTACCTTTTCACACCAGCAAGAGGAGGGGACCTGGCCGGTGTCACATGCCCTAGCACACACGRGAGCTGGACACCGGGCGGGCGCTGGGTTTCCTTACAAACTTTGCTGCGGAGGTCCCAGAGCTTGAGGGTGCGGTCGTGGCTGCCCGAGACGATGCGCGCGTTGTCCAGCAGGAACTTGGCCGAGAGCACCTTCCCGCTGTGACCCGTCAGCGTGTGCTGCGGAGGGGAGCGCAGTGAGACCTCGCGCCCGCCGCCCCGCAGCACAGCCCACGCGACCCGAAACCGCCGTCTGGGCCTCCACTGAGGCMGTGCGGAAAACAAATCACAACACGTGGTTTTATATTCGTTTCCATCTCCATGGGAGGAAGAACTCCTCTGCTGCGAGGGTGCCCRAGCCCTGGCACAGGCTGCCCAGGGAGGCTGGGGAGTCTCCTCCTCTGGAGATCTCCCAAATCCGCCTGGATGCCGCCCTGTGCCCCGTGCTCTGGGTGTCCCTGCTGGACTAGAGGTCCCTTCCAATCTCAACCATTCTGTGATATATAAGCATGGCACACATATGTATACACATAAAAAGAGATCAACCCTCCCMGAAGCAGTGAGACACGTCACCTTCAGCTGTAGTTTCTCCAGCTCATCATGAAACCTGCAAGCTCTTAGGACTACAGATAGAGAGACTACAGAGAGTCCTTCCTTAAGCAGGGCAGGAGGAATCCTGTGCCAAATATTCAGAATAAATTCAAGCACTTTAAGGTGTGTCTTTTTTTTTTTTTCTTTTTTTGTTACAGTTGGGCCAAGGGATCACTTTTCAAAAATGCTGCCCTGACACAAAGAAAATCTTTTTGTCTGCTGCAACCTCTGTTTCAGCGGTCAGAAACTTCAGAACAAGGGTATAAGATTTAAGTAGTTCTTCAAAAACCGTAAGAAACATATATGAGTTTTCACAGAAGTTGCAAAAGTTCATAGTATGGAAACATGATGCAATGGAATGTCCTACAAGAATGTACAGAAACCAACACAACATTTAGTCTTTTCTTTTGCAGTGAAGACTCTTCATTTGTAAAGAAACAAAGATTGGGTTCAAAAAAAGAACTGTTGGATGTATTTATAGATGCAGATTCCAAAACGACTGTGTCTCCATCAGACTGGAGAATGCAGGGCAGGAACAGCCTGACCACTGTTGGCCTTCAAGGGACTCACCCGTAATCGATTGTCATCAACCGTCCAAATTCTGCTGGCAAAATCATTTGAAGCCGCTAAGAGGTAAGAGCCCTGGGAAAACAAGAAGGATTTGAAACTTCTGCTAGTCATTATTGGAATTATTTTGAGTTTAATAATTCCCATAAGTCATTAAAGACACATTAGTGTTATACTCACAAGGAAAAAAGAAAAAAAAACTATAGCCTATGAGTAAGGAAAGCTGCTGTAATAACTTTCAGGAACTTCTCCCCAAATGAGATGTCAATTTGTAGACTCCTAACTACAGATAAAAGGAGTAACAGTAGCCAGAGCAGAGTGCACCATACTCCTTTCCTTTTCTTACAGTGAAGACTAGGGTCTAGTTCACGCTTGAAGGCTTTTCTGAGGCAGAAACCAAGGCTCAGCTGCACCTCACCTCTAGCAGTTCTCACCTAAACATATTCAAGCAATCTGAAAAAAAAAAAATCAGAACCATTTTCTCCAACAGATTATTAGTACTGAGGAGATGGTCAGTGCCCACATGAGAGATGCTATTGGTTCTGTATTCATGAGAGTCAGGGGACAGCATCAGCAACCTAAAGACATTTCCTTGGGCTTGCACTGCTGCCTTCCATGCAGKGAAACACGGTTATGGAAGAGGTGTCAGCACAGGAGCCAGATCTGGTGTCCAGCTGGAACAGTTCAAGACGCTGAGCTCCTGCAGTGGGACGGCTGGACGTGGAGCACGGCCRTGTGTCCAGGCCAACGTGGGCTGGATGCAGCAGGGGCCCTGCCCACCGCACCACGGCTGGCACGAGCGGCGAGGCCAGCCTGGGACCAGCTACAGGCACCAGCACCCGTGGGGTGATTGGGCCTTTCACTGCTCACCACGCACCTCAGCAAAGCGCTCGCAGGGAGGAGAAGTATCAAAAAAAAAAAGACAAAAATCTCAGTGTTTTTCGTTCCATCAGGTACTTACTTCAGCAGGAAGCTGACGACTAGTTTCTTACTTTAGGTAAAACCTGATCTATCCCGTCACAATTTTAACAAAACAGCCAATGAGCAAGTTGCATTTGATCTTCTGAATTTTGAAGCAAAGGCACTGAATTGTGTGAAGTCTGTAGCATACCAAATACGGGTCATTTTGCAGAATTTCAAACTATTCGCAATTAGTTTCATAAGAGCCGAGTTCAAATATTGAGGTAACTGTTGAGGTAAGTGTCAAGATGGAAACTGGCAGCAGARCACAAAAGACTTCAGTTTTCACCCCAAGGACCAACAGTGGATACTGCACAGGTACTCACAGCACTATCAAATTCTATGCTTGTAATCCCAGCGTTGCTGCCAGAGAGGGCACCTTTGGGCTCACACCTATCTGTGCAGAAAAAGACAAACAAAACTTAATAAATGGATTAGAACAGAAGCTGACATGAATTTAACCATAATCTAAGATATAATTTCAGCTAATTTAATACCCAAACATATCCCAAAGAAAAAACATTTACCTCCCAAGACTTCCCAGAGCTTAACCCTCCGGTCCATGCCTCCTGTCGCCAGCAACCGGGAGCCAGGGCTGAACTGCACCGCATTAACCTCCCCATCGTGGGCGTCCTGAGGAGGAGGAGGAGGAGGAGGAAGAGGAGGAGGAGGAACACCCAGAAGAGCATCAGTGCAAGACCCCAAAAATGCAGGTCTAGAGGATTTAAAGACTAGGCTATACTGAACCACAGCTGCAAATCTTTCAGCAGTACATGGGAAACAAAGCCACAGCCTGAACCTCTGCTATTGTCGATGCTCTCTAAACAGAGCAAGATAACTGATCCTTATCTGAGGGAGAAGCAGAAAATATGTAAGGGAAAACATGAGCAAGACTCTTTAAGTTCAGGTTTTGCAAGGTAAGGTGTCTAGCTTTAAGTCAGATGAGAAAAAAATAAGTGAAGAGGAGGAAAGAAAAAATAGTAGGTGATGTGCCATAAAAGGAAACCAGCTTTTCATTTCCTCATCTAGAGCCAGTTGTAGAAGAAAACCTGACCAGTTTGTGCCACCACACAAGACCAAAGTCAGGCTTAAATYAAAGAGGTCGTTCAAAGCAGTGCAACCAATCAAGCACGTTCAGTTCTTTTACTGGTGCTAACGCAGCTTTACTCTGGTGTATTATTTAGGAATAAGAGCTGTGACTTGGCACTGCAGCTCTCCGACAGGGAACTCGAGCTTCAGCCATGCAGGAGCAGCAACACCTCTCCACTCTCAAGGCTTCCTGTTTTGAGGTTTAGACTAACAAATTAATAATGATTTTCAATGTATTAAAGCTTATGAAAACTTCAGGATCAAGATGCCTTCTTCCTTTCTTCCCCCCTCCTGTTAAGTTCACAGTTTTAAACTCCTTACACGTTTTTTCCCCCCCATGTATCACATTCTTAACTCATTTGTTGCATTCCTCATTTAGCATTTTCAGCAAGTTCTTTTTTCCTTTTTTTTTTTTTTAAATTAGACTTTTTAAAATTCTAATACTTGTTTTTTTCCCCCAGAACTTCTTGCTGAATCTGGTTTCCCAGATCGTAGCTAGAGGTGAATATTTCAAGTCTGATCTTTCTGCAAGTGCAGAAGAGCCGTTCTGACCACGTGTGGCCAAAGCTCCTGCCTAGAAGCTGCAGCCTGGCTGAAGTCGCAGCCTCTTCCTCCTCCTCAAAGCCGCTGCAGAAGCTACGGCCCTGGTCTCACTTAGGCTACACTGCTGCTCCCCACTGCAGCACTTCCACTAAGGAAGGCAGCAGGGCAGCCTAGGCTGGGCAGGCCACTGTGTGGTCACGCTATTATTCTGGAGGGAAAATAAAAGAGAAATCAGAGTTATGGTGAGGGTAACTAAATGCACACGGCATTTTACATCCAAGCTAGCCGGGGAAAACTATTCACTCCTTGCTCAAGAATCTGCAATTAGAGAAGCGGTCAGATAAGCAGCTGCTCTTCAGATAAGCAGTGTCTTCCACTGCAAAAGGAAGTGCCCTTCTGGAAATGTTAAGTTTGGCCTTGTGAAGCCAAAGCAACACACAAAAGAGGTCTCAGCTTGAAAACTTCAGATCACACACAAGAAATGAAGACACCCCAGCACCCTGAGCTCCTCTTAAGCAGTTCTGTTGGAYGACATCCAGCGCCACAACTCCCTTCACTGTGGAGAAGTGGGACTGAACGAATCCCAAGCTGTCAGCAGCCCCTGCCTCCATCACAGCTCTGCTGCAGCGTGACTGCACAGGGCCTGCTGGGAGCCAGGAGGGTATGGGGGTGCGACTCCCCAGTGCCCTCAGACCTTTTACTTGTCATCATCGACCTCAGCAACACACAGAACACGCAAGGGCACCCAGGGGAGCACAGCAACGTTTAGATTAAATGGGCTGAACTGTGCTACCCAATCAAGAACTCCTTTTTTGACGCTTAATTGGCACAGTTTCAGCAGATCAGTTAGCAAGTGCCTTCCAGAATACAGACAGGATTTGCTTCCTCTAAAGACAGAGGAAAGAGAGCAGAGATGAGAAGCCCCTTCATACTTACAAAGACACATATGGCAGTATTGGGCACCCTCACTTCCTTACTGGAACCTGGATGAGGCTCGGCGGTGTCCTGGGGAGCGGGGAGCGAGGACAACGAGCGTCTCCTGAGTTGAGACAGGAAACAAAAGCATTTTAAAAACAGCAGTGCGCGCAGCTTCTCTAAGTGACAGGTATAGATCTGGATGAGCTCAACTACGCTACCCAAGAATGAAAAGGAGTTTTGACATTCTTTTCTCCCTCCTTTCAAGAAGCACATTCATGATACTGCCCAGCATTCCCTTGGGGCTTTAAGTACTTCACAGTATGCCAGCTTAAGTTATCAGAAGCAATTACTGACCTCATTCTTGAGCAGTCTTTTTTTTTTTCTTTTTCTATTAGAAAAGAGAAACGAGGCAGTGACTGCAGCCGCGTTCTGGAGAGCCTGCAGCTCCACCACTGTGCCTGGGCAGGCTAAACACCACTGCAGCACTACACTCCAGCCAGCAGCCCTAAAGCTTGGACTGCACCGTTGAGGCAAAGACCATCCAACCAACACAGAGCTCGACTTCGAAGGACTGGCTCCACTCTSGATATTAAGCACAGACCCCACAGACTAGTTTTCAATAACTCTATTGCACTGAAGTGCAATGGAATATGAGCACAAAGCTCATGTTTTCTCATTGCATCTCTAACTGCAGCAGGTTTCTAGGAGTGTCACCAACATCTACTGGGGATAACGCAGCCGGGCTGCGGGTTACTTCACCGGGACACGTTCACATGCTGGACTAAGAGCAGATAACGTTTTCACCTGGCAGCATCAGCAGATGGATGTCCCAAAAGGGGAGACTCAGACAGACTGGAGGGAAAGGTCAGAGGTCAGCACACGGCAAGATGGAAGAAACGGGAAGTTGAGGAGAACAAAAAAAAAGAAAGGAAAAAAAGAAGAGCAGAAGCTAGAAGAGAGGCTGACATTATTTGTCCGTATTCCCTGCGCCACCAAGATCGTGGCGTACATTGAAACCGATACGTAAAACGAGAGGTGAAAGAGTTCTAACCTACCCAAAGATATTAGTGATAGAGTCCAGAAGGCCTCCAGCTGGCTGGGAGAGTCGCTTACTAAAGGAGGGGAGGACAGGTTTAAACCTCGTGAATAGCTGCTCCAAACACAGATCAACACAAACACAGTTTATAGCAGCGAGTCCCTGGAAAGGCTCCCTCCCCTGCAGACCCAGCCCCAAGGAGGAAAACACCCAAGAAAGGCATGAGTACAAAAGTCACCAGTGATGACAACTCAGAACATGATTCGCAGGTGAAATTTCCCCAGAACTTCGAGTCCCAAAATTGATGGATTTAGAGGTAACAGTTTGCCAGGTCTCAAGTTTTAAACTAATTAATCTCTGCTCTCACATAATTACCTCTTACCTTTCCACTCACTGCTATTTTATAGAAATAAAAAACTGCATTTAAGGCTAGGTGAAGATATTTTGAGTATTGTCTGATAAATGCAAAAATACAAGTACTTGCAAAGTCATGTTGGTACCTTGTGTAGTTACAGAGAGAAATTAAAATGAATATTGCAGTGCGAGTTTATTGCCTTTAAAAAAAGAGCCTTTACTCCATTTTTAAGACTAGATACAGATTTTCAGGCAGTAGCTTGACTTAGTTTGAAGAGAACAATGATAAAAACAAAGCAAATAAGTGGTGAGAACACAGCAGGTAAGGCAAGTCTTACAAAGCTAGGATGGGAATATTGAACCGTGATCCAGTTCAAGGTGAGTGAAAATCATAGGCAACATCCTGGCTATTGCCCCCTGGCGTGTTCCAGCACGCTCACCCCCTGCTCCTCCCGGGCTGCGGTGGCGATCCGTGCACGTGCACCCACCTGGACGTGCGGCTGACCACGCGCACGGGAGACGTCTCCTCGGCCGTGTCGGACGTCTCATCCGCAAGCACCTCGATGTCGTCATCCCTGCTGAAGGGAGAGGAAACACCTCGTTTTAAACCAGCCACAGAGAGCGTCTTGCATCGCGGCGTCATGTTGACTGATCAGGAGGTTTACATTCGGCAGCCRTAGGAAGAATAAGCCAATTCCTGCCAGGCAAGACAGCACATAGGACTAATCCAGCTGCAGTAGAGCGTTTTCAGTCTTACGTTTCAGACTATATTTGCACATTTGGAGGACAATAAGCATGAAAAGGCTACAGAAAATGTATGCTACAGGYAGAAGTGTCAGGCTGGTATCTCTATAAAATGCTAGCAAGTTTAAGTGCTGAGGCTTCTCTTTTTTTTAGATAAAAAATAAGCTTTTAAAAATTCCSTAAATCAAAAGATCTTTCCAGGTTAACTTAAGTGTATTTTAGAAGTGTCTAAATCCTGGCTCACACTTGRAATGCTGCACTTTTGCCTTTCAGTGGGCAGTGCACTTGTACAACAATACTAATCATGTAAAAAAAAAAAAAAGATACCAAAATGAAAGGATCAAAAAATATCTGTGAAGCAGAGTAATTTAAAGCATGATTTTTTTCAGAAATTCTTATAGACTTCTTCTGAACTTTAGTGCCTTGAGGCAAATGAATTAGGAAACTCGGACCACCACCAGCACAGAAAGTAGAAGTATTCACAGCGACTTCTGAGCTCAGGTCTGAAGGAGGAAGGTCTGACTTTGGCTAATGCAGCGGAGGAATCTCTGCAGAAAAGGTGGCCATAGATACTTTACATGGGGTTTCCTCACTCAGTATGGTGTTTTCTGTTGAAGAATTTAATGTTCAGGCTATTTACAGCAAGCACTAGGCAAAAGAGAAGGAAGCTGGAACAATTTTTCCATTGATCTAGGACACAGAGGTCAGCAAATCTGCCATGGAAAGTCCTGCTTAAATAAACTAAGGGAATGAAAGAATTTAAGTGCTTAAAAAGATGCAAACCAAACTGTGCTAGGTAACTGTGCTGTTAATGCACACAGTCAGCTTTTCCCCTCCGAGGGGAAAAAAAGCTCTCCCACACTTCTTCATATATCCCTCCTTTCCCAGGCTTTTGCATACAAGTTTTTATAACCTCATCAACCTCATAAAAAGTCCAAACACCATCAGCTATTCATTTCAGTGAGATGATTAGAAAGAGGACTGGTCAGAAATAAATACAGAAAGCAATATCCACGCAGCTGATGAGAAGCACAGAGTACAAATGCTTCTSTCTGACTTGCCAAGAAAAGTAACTCCACATTCATCTGGTTTTCTTTACAGTGTAAAAYCATTTCAGCATGGAGATAATCAATATATTTTCACCCTTTTCAAGTATCTGTTCGTACTGAGAATCCTACAAGACAGYTGCATAGCCTAGCATTTAAAAACGGAGGCATCTCCAGAGCATTACTACTCCACAAGGAAGAGTTACTTGGAAGGCTGAAGGCACTGTATAACAAATGTTTTTTCTCCTGAAATACAAACGCCAATTCACTGGATGAACCATTTTTGGGACTTTCAGTCCAAGCACCTATTTTTAGGCCTAACACAGCTCCCCCTTCTAGAAGTTCAAGTAAGGAGCATTAGTACAGCACAGTTTGAACACTCCTCTAGCACCACCAAATCTAGAAACAGCAAAGATGCCATTTGTCAGACRTCTCCCTAGAAGCGGAGCACGAAGGGAAGATGGAGAAGGGCTCTGTAAACCGAGACTGCTTACGGCTCCACGGGCAGCGGCTCTTTGGCAGCTTCTGCCAGCTCCTTCTGCAGCCTGGCTTGTCGTCTCCTACGGAAAGGGAACGAGGTTATTTTCAGAAGTCTTACTTAATCCTATTCSAAAGATTATCCTGCACAGTTCTGACAGGCTTCATATTTCCAAAACTGAACCAATGCCACACATTTATCCTGAATTTTATCCTGGTCTTCCAGACACTTAATGCAGAAGAGGCATTTTATTACTGGGAATAGCTAAGGACAGAACTCTCGCTCCAGGGCCACAGTAAGGCAAAGCACAACTATGAAAAGTCTGTAGAGGAATGGCTGTTTATGACCCACATGAAAACATATTTGTCCAGAGCAAATACTTGCACAAATTTGCAAAAATAACGSTTATATTAGTAAAGCCATTACAAAAATACCATGTACTGAGGCTTGTCTTACAGTTTAGTGAATAAACTGTTGGTATTGTTATTGGGCAAGTAAGTTGAGGGAATTCAGAATAAGGTCATTTGCTCTTACACATAGCCCATTCTCAAGACAGAGCCTCAAACGTGCAAAGCATGTGAAACACCCTTGAATTGGTCAAGGAGAGAAAAAAACAACAACAACAAAAAAAGGATAAAACCAGGAGAACACGACATGGACARGAGAAGTCCAAACTTAACACTAGCAGTAAAAGGTTTATCTGATCTCGGATCTCTAGACCACAGTTCACGGTTGCTCAAGAAGCAAAAAACACATTTTATTCATTTAAAAGACAAGAATGTTTTCACAAAGCATTTCTCTGGGCTGCCCAGAGGAAGGAACACAAAGTTCTAAAGTCTTTATTTTGTTGTGCAAGAATCAAAACAGCCTGAGATCACTTTTTTTCCCCCCCTTTGTATTATTTGCTTTCATAAGTATTTAGAGAAAGTAGATAAGTATTTACCAAGTAGATGGCATAAGTCTCACCTTGAATCCTTTTCATTTTCTGCATTCAAACGATTGGCTTCTTGGGCCTTCTCTGCCATCCACCGTGAGACCAGCTCCTGGTTATCCTCAGTAGTTTTCCTCAGTTTCTCTTCCAGGGCGTTGAAGGTGATCTGGAGAGCATCATATTCATCTTTCAGTGTCTGATTAGCTCGCTCCAGGTCTTGCAGCTTGCTACGCAATTCCTGGCACTCTGTCTCCAGCTCAGAGATCTTTTGCAAATATTCTGCAATCCTGGAAGAACAACACAATAAAAAAAAAAAAAAAGGCAAAAACAAGCACAAAAAAACAAAAAAAGCACAATGAGGCCCTTCTCTGGGACCTGCACCATCTTTTCCGTGCTATTTGTACAACGCCTAACAAAGGGTTTTTTAGCCCATGGGTAGGGCTCCTAAAGAGTATCATTAATACAAATAAATAACCCAACAAAAATCTAGGTCTCATACCAACCACACAGAAGAAACTGTTCCTACTCACTTAGCTTCATTCATCTGCATCTCTTTGTCTTTCTGCTGCATTTGGTTATTCAGATCAATTACAGATTGGGCCAACTAGGAAGGGAAGAGAATTACATTAAAAGAAAATGCAGGGTATCAGCTGGACAACAAATACCGAGTGGCTCCCTGTTGAGCCCAGAACCACCTAGAGCTACGAGCAAGAGCTTCTACATGGAAGGACCTGGGTCCTTTTAAGYCCGACCACCCGGAACTTCCAGGCTTTGCTTGTGCTCGTTTGCCTTGTTAACTCCTATCTGGCAATGGTTTAGCTAAGTGAAAACAGCCAAACTAAACCCCACACAGTCACCCACCTTCTCACTCCTACTTTCCTCACTCAAAATCTTCCCAGTGCAGAGCTGGTGCTCACGGGCAGCACTGCAACCCCTCTCAGCTTCTTCTCCCCATAATTATTACAGCAAGAACAGTCAGGAGGCACAAAATTAAGCACTTGTTGCGAGCTTGCCATGCTGACAAGGCACACTTATCTCCCGGCTGTCAGTGTGAAAGACCGACCAGTTCTGGTTTATTTTAATCATCAACATGGSTTGCTTGGTAAGGCTGCATCTTTCATTTTACGTACAACCTTTTTGCACACACATGTTGGTGGCTAAAATGACGAATACACGTGGTAAAATGAAGAACCTCGGGCTTGCAGAGGGCTGCGTGTGAAGCGTAGAACACGAGAGGACTTTCTAACCTCGCCACGTTTCTTGTGCAGCTCTGTCAGCTCCTCTTGATGCTTTATCTTCAGCTGGGCCAGTTCCTGCAGCTGAGCATCATTCCAGGTGCCATCGTGTCCCGGACTGCAATTTGAGAGGAAGGAAAGAAGCAATTTCAAGCCCAAACCCAACGGTTGCCGTGCCTCCGACCAGCTAGGCTCAGAACAGCATTTCCCTCAGATTTTGTGCACTGTATCAGACACAGCTCATTGATAATGAGYTGAACCAGAGAACGGACTGACACAACACACTTCTCACCAGCCAAGAAGCTATTATATAGTAGTGAGAAATGAAACCTATGGAGGTTAGGATTCACACTTTCACATACTCCCAAAACATAATTCAAATATCAAATGAAAGGTAACTAGCCCCAGGTGAAACAGGCACCAAGACTAGCGAGTTTTAAAAATAAACTCTGCAAATACTGCAAGAATTGCAAACATTTTATCAACTTAATTTTGTTTGGCAGAGAGCTAGTGGACCTTGGAGGTACTGAAAACCTCGAGGTGGATTTTTTTCTTTCAATTGTGTTTTCTACTACAGTGGCATCATCATGATATTATCCCAAGTTTCTAGAAATCAGAAGAACACATATGACCCCCTCCAGCAAGCACAGTTCCAATGTTTATCATTCGTGCTTTTGACAGCACACAGAGATCGGTTTTTCAATAAGTGTGCGTGCAGCTATATATATATCCAGATGTGTGTGTATATATACATGCACATACAGTAAGACACGAGGCATACAAACCTCAGGGAAATTAGAAACTTTGTTTTAAATTACAGGTTTTCACAAAGGAAAAAATCCCCATTCCATCAGGCCAGTCCCTATTGCAYGAGGCAAACGTGGCCAGGGAAGTGCAGGAGAGCATTTCTGCAGCCCCCTGCGTCCTGGCAGCGCGGGGGTCACGGCTAAACCGCGCTCCCGGGAAGCAGGCTCAGCGTTCCTGGGAAGYAGGGTCCCGGGAAGCAGGAGCAGCCGCTGAGCTCTTCTCCCAGCGCCCGTCTCCTCAGGACACACCGCACTGGAGGACGCAGCATTTCCTAAAAACTACCCGTTCAAACAGCTGCAATAAYATCCCATATATCCTGCAACACTATCCATACAAATGGCCAACCCCTCAACTATTCCTCYTAATCCTTAGAGGAAATAATATGCTTTCTTCCTTAGCTTTCCTTAACCAGCTGGCATTAGGGAACTAGTTCCAATCCAAGACATTTTGTCATTTCCTGATTATAATATCTAAGCTTTGTTTAAAATTTACTTTTAAAGCTCCGTTTGCATGCAGAWTCCTCCTCTGCACTCCAGCTCATCTCTCGGAGCAGGAGTTCAACCAGAGCGAGGTTTCTGTCAGCTGAGGGTGATCCGAGGCAGCTGCAGCCATGGAAAACCCTTGAGGACTCCCAGGCAGAGGTCRGCTCCAGCCTGCGGCCACGCGCTCGCTCGGGAGACCCCATCCTACCTAGCGAAGGGCTGCTGGAATTCCTGCCACATCAGCAGTCACTCTTGGCTGCAGTACACAGCAGCCCTGACCACGAGCTGCGTGTGCTGCCTGCAAGCTCTCCCCACAGCTCTCACCACGTACTGCAGAGCGCTCCAGCGGAGGAAGCTGCTCCTAGAGAACCGGCGGGTAACAGACAGGGCGACTCTCCTGCTCCTCTTTCAGGATCACTACAGCAGAGCCCAACATTCCCTCACCTGCCCTGTGTCCTGGCAGCCCCCTCCTAAAAGCAAGCTGTAAGGTTCCAGTGAAGCCACGGATGCTCCACAGCCTCCGCCTTCTGCTTCCCAACTCCAAACCTCATCTCCAGGCTGAGACCTCTCCCTGGGCCAAGGAACTTACAGGACGAGGCAACTTCAAACTTCAATCATCAAGTACAAGCAGCAAGCAAACACAACGGGCACTACAAGGCAAATAGGCCAGACCTGYACAGCAGCGTGGGCCAGGCCACCTCCAAACCCACGGGCTGCGACAAACCGTTTTTGGCCTAAAATCCGGTCAGAACTTTCTCCGCTGTATGCCACAAAAAGATTCCAACTTTGCAATACGTTCAGAGCATTATAAACCATAGGATAAGCATTATAAACTACTATAAACGTAGTATGAAGCACTGTTTGGTCACGCTGGAGGGCTGGGCCTGCGGCGCGCGGGCCTGCGCGCTGTCCGGGCCGGGCCGKGCCGGGCCGGGCCYGCGCGCTCCGAGGGGCACCCGGGACTACCTGATCTCGTGCCTGCCCTGCACGTCCAACTTCTCCGCCTGCAGCTTATCGGCCAGCACGGCGTGCAGGTCCGACCTCTCCAGCAGCTTGTTATCTGAAACGGCAGGAAGCGCGCTCAGCGGCGGAACCGGGAAGCACAGATCCCCGTTTTCCCGAAGCCCGGGGCTTCGGCGCGTGCCGGCGCCGGGCACGGAGGCACGCGGGGAGCGGGGGCCGCGGGCGGCGCTCACACTGCGCCACGATCTCCTCGAAGGCCTGCCGCTGCTGCCGGTCGCGCCGCCG